TGTGTTTTGTACCCCTGGCTGGTAGTGGCTTGTGCCAGTCATAATTTTTAAAAGGAATCAGAAGTAATTATAATTCTAACTTTTTGAGAAACTGGAAAACAAAGTTACTTTTAACATGTAACAAGGCTGGCAAACTAGCTACGTCTTGTATGTGGGAATTATCACTAAAATGCAAGCTTTGATATGAACTTAGATATAAGGCCCCTTGAACTCAACGAGACTTATTCCCAAGCGAGGGTGAAGGACTGCAGCCTCACCTTTGCTGACTGCAGTTTGGTTTATATTTGTGGTGTCTCTCAGTTTCTCAGGACACACAACCAATTTAATACACCAGCACTTGTTTATGACCTCCCCGGCAAGGCCAGTGGCCTTGAGGATTCTGGGAGTTGTAGTCCAAAAATAACTTTTCTGAGCTCTGAGCGGTCCTGCACTGTCATTGGAAGAGCAAGACATTAGCAGAAATCATCTAGGCCCTTGCATCACAGTCCAGATATTTATAGATCTCAGATTCCTCTGTGGATTTGGTTTCAGCCAGTCGGGTCCATTCAGCACATTCCTGACACTGCAGGAAATATGGGTCCCTTAAGCCTCATTCTGCCTCTTAGTTCTAAATCCTAGTTCACCAGCTTAGTTCCTGACCCCTTCGTTTCTTTGAGACCCTTCATGCTTCCCCAAACTCATGAATACCATCGTTATTTATGAGTTGCATTTGTATTCTGCTGTTCCTCCAATGAGTTCAAGGTAAGTATAAATGGCTCTGCTCTCCCTTCCCCCACTATTTACCTATACAACCACCCTGTGAGGTTGGTCAGCTGAAAGATAGTGACTGGCACAAGGTCATTCAGTGTGTTTTATGGCTAAATGGGGAGCAGAGCCTGGATTTTCCAGGTGCCAGCCCAATATCCTACACTGCATCTCCAGCTCTTATTCATAAATTTTACTAGCTCTATAAAAAGCAGCAAGACACAAAGGCTGTGTGCCTCCGCCCGACTCCAGTTCCACCACCAGCATTATTGTTTCTCTTGAAAAAGAAAAAGAAAATAGATATTGGCCATGGAAACATACTGTTTGTTAATTTATTTCAGTGCTGCCATAATTAAAGCCACTCACTTCCTCACGTTGAAGTGGAGCAGACTGTAATTGCTATTAATGATGACGATTACATGTCATCAAGTCAAATTCATCTTATTTCTTTATTAATTATTTATGAATTACGTTTACATCCCACCCGTGTAGTGGGTAAACCTCTACTCTGGGCAGTTAACAACAAATGAGAAGGCCTACCCACCCACAAACACAAAACACCCTAATCATAGTGGCCAACAAAAAAATTGTCAAAGGCAACAGCAGACAAAAATTCAAATACTGTACAGCCGCGTGGTTTAGCAAGGATGACATAGGGGGAAGGACATTCCTAAAGGCTTCCTTAAAGAGTTTAGATTTCACACGTTTCCTAAAGGTCAAGCGGGAGGGATCTTGATGTATGTCTACAAGCAATGCATGATGATAACTCCTTTTTCCAGGGTTTTCTCATATATGTAAGTGTACTTTAGGTGTGGTTTACCCTTCCCCTTCGTCTGGGCCACTCTGGGTCTCTGCAGTTTGCCCAAGGCTACAAAGGCTGGCTCTTCTCCCAGGAGACACAGTGGGGAATTGAACTCGACCAATAAATTGCCATTTGTACTCAAAATGAGCAATTTCTGTCCCTCTTTCCCTCCTTTCTCTTAACTGTTTGGTAATATCTGAATATCAACCTTTGTCTTCATTCAGGGAGCATAGGTTTCCTGATCTAGCCCACCTAGGCACCAAAGAAACCAGGACTCTGAGTTTCCTGTTTCCCTAGCTCAAGGCAATAGGCCCTTCTCCCAGAGCGCCCAGGAATCCTAGCTCAGATTTCTCTCTCCTCTGAAACTCTGCCTGCCCCGCACACATGGAGAGAAGGCACAGTTGCTCCTAACAGCTAATAATAGCGTGCTGCTATGGCAAGCAGCTTAGCTCTCTTTGTGCCTCTCCAACCGCTCCAGCCCAGCCACCTCATATAAGGGCATGGCAGTGCCCCATGGCTTGTCTGTTTCATCTGTCTTGGAGGCTGGGTCAAGCAGTCATTGGCTGAGGGTTGAAGGGCTAATCTGGGCCAGCTGTAAACGTCGCTCACAAAAAAACAGATCTGGAAACGGTATTTCTGCCCTGCAGTTCTCCTTGTCTGATGCCTGCTTTTCCTGGTTGCTTTCTTTTGGGACTTTTTACAGACTGTGTAGAAGCTGTGTAATTCCCTCCATCTGCCATGGGTTCCCGGAAGGCCTGGATGTTGGGTCTCCTATTGGTTCTGGTTTGCTCGTTCCAGCTCCCAATTGCACATGGACAAGAGCAGCACTACCACCATGAACACCACCACCATCGTGATGATATAAGCCACCATGACCATGAGGATGAACAGCATGATCACAAGGAACACCACCACCAAGGGCATCATGATCAGCACACAGATACTGGTGATGACAATGATGACCATCATCACTATCCCTCTCACCATCATGAAGCAGGACAGCACCAAGAAGGGCACCATCATCACCACAACGGTGACCATCACGAGAGTGAGCAACATGATCATGGTGGTGATGATGATCATGGCAAGCATCACCACCACCATGATGACCATCATGGTGGACATCATCATCATAATGATAATGACGATGATGAACCTCAGAAGCACCATCATGGACATCATGATCAACACCACCATGATGAAGAGGATGAGCATCACCACCATCATGAACATCATGGTGATCATCAGCATCACTACCATGATGATGAAGATGAAGATGATGACAGTGAGGAAAATGAACACCCTCATCATGGGCATCATGGTCACCACTACTACAGAGAGGAGGAAGAGGATGAGGATGAAGAACAACACACAGGTCATCACCACCATCATCACCATGATGAAGATGAGGCCCATGGGCACCATCACCATGGTGGCCATCATCACCATGATGAAGATGATGACGATGACGATGATGACGAGGAAGACGGAGAGCATCATCACCATCATCAACACCACCACCATCACTATGGTGATGAAGAAGAGTCTGATGAAGCTTCTTCTGAAGAAGAAGAGGAAGATGAGCAGGATCATGAAGAAGCTAGAAGGACACACCATGAAGGACATAAAGGTGAGAGAAACTCAGTTTTTGCAGGATGGCAGAGATGTGATGGAACTATATTTATATTGGGAGAAACTGATGAGTCAGGACAAATCAGACATCCTGCCTTCTAGCCTTCTCCACCCTCTTGAATGCCCGAGAGGATGCAGAAATTATAGATCTTTTTGGCAGTGTTCCCCACGCTGAACCGCATCCCCTGGCTCCAGAACTGTTCTCTTACTTTTTCCCCAGCTAGGATGGCCTCCTGTTTATCTCCAAATCCATTACTCATTATTCCCCTCTTTAATAAACTCAGAGGTCCAGCTCCCTTGTCTTCAGCAGCATCCCACGAGGTCCCCATGTTCCCTTGGATTTTAGCTGCGGTCTGGACCTCTCCCCTTCCCAAACTAAAAAACCCCAGAATGATACAGGCAGCCATATCTGTTTCTCTCTTTCCCCTTGAAGAAGAAGAGGATGAGGATGAAGATGACGATGAGGATGACAAATACGAGGCAGGCTCTCTTTGCCACTATTGTGCCTTCTGCAAGGTAATGAGGGAATGCTTTTGTATGCATACCTGCTCAGCTCTGTGCTATGCGGTTTGATTGGCAGAGCAGCTTATTGTTAAAAGTGAGGGCCTCTTCCTAGAGCCGATGCATGCTTCATGTCTTTATCCGCTCTTGTTCAGTTTCTGCCACAGATTAATCCACAGCACAATGCCTTTTCTGCCCTCTCCAAGGCAGGGCCGTTACTATGTTCTGTTCTTTTGATGAACACCTAGCAGCATTAATCAAAACACTGCTAGCTGCTCTGACAGTCTTATATAGCACATCTTCGAGACACTTCCTTTTGTCTGGATCCTTAAAGCAGAAAAGATTCTGTTGAGAATTTTGATTATAATGTGTATTCTCATAACATCAGCAGAGTAAGGAGATATTGGTTAGCAGAGATACTTATGACACTATGACACTGAGAGAGTAAAACCAATAACTTAGTCTATTTACATACAGTGGTGCCTCGACTTACGAATATCCCGACTTACGAATATCCCGACTTATGACCATTTCCAGTTACAACCAGCTCCGACCACAAAATTTTGCTTTGATTTTACAACCAAAAAAAAGGCAAGGAAAAAAGGCGGGGAATTCAAATGTGCTAACCATTGGTAGGCGAAGAGCCTGCTTCTTTGTAGCTCTTTCGCCCCAATGGTTAGAGTGAGTGCGATTGGAGGAGGCTTCAGGCTGTCTGGTAAGGTAAGGTGCTGCTTTCTGCTTTTTAAAAACTGTTCTGGGTGGGTTTTGCAGTGTGTTTTGGGGATGGGTTTCAATGTTTATGATTATGTTTCTATGCTGTAATAGGTCTTGCAGGGTTTGTTTGTTTTTTTGAGTCCCCCCCCCATTTCCGATGGGTCTTGGGGTTGGTTGTTTGCTTTTGTTTTTTTTCCCCCATTTCCAGTGGGTCTTGGGAGGTTTGTTTGCTTTTGGGTCCCCCCCCCCATTTCCAATGGTCTTGCACGGTTTGCTTGCTTTCTGCTTTGCTTTTTTTTTTTGCATTTCCAATGGGTCTTGCACGCTTTGCTTGCTTTCTGCTTTGCTTTTTTTGCATTCCCGATGGGTCTTGCACGGTTCCTTTTCTTTTCTTTTTTCCCTTCGGCCAGAACGGATGTTTCGCGTTTCCAATGGGTCTTACAGTGTTTTTGGTTTTTTGGGGTGTGTGTGATTTTTTTTTCTTCAACCGGAACAGATTAATTGCATTTCAATGCATTCCTATGGGAAATGGTGCTTCAACTTACGACCATTTCGAGTTACGACTGGAGTTCCGGAACCAATTAAGTTCGCAAGTTGAGGCACCACTGTATATACATAAATAGACATTCCTCTGGCAGCATAACATAACATGAAGCAACACGCAGCATAGAAAAAAAGTGATCTGACTTACAGGAGATAAAGACTTTCATTTTAGAGATGACTTATGTGCAATTCTGTGACCAATCAGAAAATACATTACTTCATTTTCACAGTTTCATCATGTACACAGCTGTACAACATTAAGTCTTAATCCTTGATACCCACACCTGAATACAATCAGTACAGTAACTCAGGTAGAATCAGCCATTTTATATTTAACTATACAACATTAATATTTAATACATTTTCATGTCAGAATCTCAACAGATGATTCTGTGCCTGTGTCTCTATCTCTCAACTAAAGCAGTTGGGGCTTAATTATGGTGTCCCTCTTATCCTTGGCAGTTATGGCTTTGAGGAGAGCTTGCTTGATTTGGTCTTACTGAACTGCAGTTGAGAAGATTCACTCTGAACATTCTGGCTTAAATCTGCATTTGTGCTCTGTTATTCCTCATTCTGCCTGCATGCCCTTCACTCTCTCTCCCTAACCTATGTGTTCTCTATGGGCTGAATTACTCCAGCGAGTGAAGTGAGATGATCTCCCAATATTTCTATTTTCACTTAAAAGCAGGTTAGATGGAAATACATTGGTTCAGATTAGGGTTAGTGGGAGAAACGGAGGCTGGAATTTGGTGGTGGTGGTAGAGTGATCCTGGACATTGTTAGCATCCCTGTTGAAGTCCTGAAGTGCTGTAAAGAGACCATCACCACTGAGCTGGATGAAATCTTTTGTCTTTGCTGGAGGGAAGGTGGAGTACCACAGAACATGATGGATGCAAACATCGTCACATTGTACAAGAACAAAGGAAACAGGGGCGACTGCAATAACTACCGTGGCATCTCTCTTCTCAGCACTGTAGGGAAGCTGCTTGCCCATGTTGTGCTGAAGAGGGCCTGCAGACAGAGTTTATCCAGAATCACAGTGTGGATTTCGAGCTAACAGATGCACCATTGACATGGTTTTTTCCCCTCAGATAGTTGCAGGAGAAATGTAGGGAACAACAACAGCCACTCTTTGTGGCCTTCATAGATCTTACAAAGGGCTTTGATTTGGTTAGCAGGGACAGCCTTTTTAAAGTACTTCCCAATATTGGATGCCCACCTCGACTCTTTAACATCATCAGGTCCTTTCGTGAGGAAATGAAAGGCACTGTAGCTTTCGTTGGCTCAACATCAGATCCTTTTGACATCTGAAGTGGAGTGAAAAAGGGCTGTGTCCTTGCACCAACTCTGTATGGGATCTTTTTTTCTGTCATGCTGAAGCATGCTTTTGGAACTGCAACAGAAGGTGTCTGTCTATGGACTAGATAAGATGGAAAGCTCTTTAATCTCTCTAGGTTGAGAGCGAAGACCAAAGTCTAGCTGAAATGGATGCGGGACCTCCTCTTCACCAATGATGCAGCTGTTGTTGCCCATTCTGCTGAAGACCTCCAACAACTTATGAATTGTTTTAGTAAGGTTTGCCAAGATTTTGGACTAACAATCAGTCTGAAGAAAACACAAGTCATGGGCCAGGGCGTGGATTCACCTCCCTCTATTACCATCTGTACACAAGAATTAGAGGTTGTTCATGGTTTTGTTTACCTTGGCTCAATGATCTCTGACACCCTCTCTCTAGATGTTGGGCTGGATAAACACATTGGCAAAGCAGCTATCATGTTCTCTGGACTAACGAAGAGAGTATGCCATAATAAAAAGTTGACAGCATATACCAAGATCCAAGTCTATAGAGCCTGTGTCCTGAGTGCCCTCCTGTACTGCAGTGAGTCCTGGACCCTTTGTGCATGGCAGGAGAGGATGTTGAACATGTTCCACATGCGTTGTCTCTGACACATTTTTGGTATCACTTGGCAGGACAAAGTTCCAAATAGAGTAGTCCTAGAACGAGCTGGAAATTTTAGCAT